AAAAAAAAAAAGAGGACAGGGGAGGGGGAGCGGGCAACAAATGTTAGCACAGGGCCAAACTTCCTCAAAGAAAAAAAAAAAAAAAGAGGACAGGGGAGGGGGAGCGGGCAACAAATGTTAGCACAGGGCCAAACTTCCTCAAAGAAAAAAAAAACCACACAGGAGAGACATGGGAGACAGACCCAGCTTCTGTCCTTGCCAGCCCAGTACAGCTGTAAGCCTTGTGAAAACAGACCCCACCTCATTTCCCACACCACACACACACACACACACACACAACTACCAGCTGCTGCAAAAAGCTTTATTGTTTCTATTTGGTCCACAGCTTGGGAGAGGGCTCCAGGGTGGTTAAAAAGCTACCTAGTGGCTGCAGGGAGAGGCTCAGGCAGAAACTCTGACACCAAGGGGCTGCCACAAGAGCCCCTCAAAGGCTGCTGGACTGCGGAGGCTCCTAGTCATGCTTGAGGGTGAGCCTTTCGAAGAGATACTCGCCCAGGCCAGCCTGGGGGCCAGCGAGCCTGTGAATGTTGGTCAGGTGGTCGCCCATCTTCTTGATGAGTTTCACTTCCTCCTCTAGGAAGTGGTTCTCCAGGAAGTCACAAAGCTGGAATGACGAAAAAGAAGAAAATGTTGTCACTTACAGAGAACATTGTGACAGACAGGGAAAGAGGCTCAGAAGGACCGCTGCCCAGTCATATGAGACCAAGGCTTAGATGTAAGCTTCATTCCCGGGAACGTCTCAGAAGTAGATAGGGATGAAAGAAGGTACTTACATGGGGGTCTGAGTGGGCAGAACCCAGAGCATGCAGATCCAAGAGGGCCTTGTTCAGATTCTTCTCTAGGCCCATGGCAGCTTCCATAGCCTGCAGGGTGTTGCCCCACTCATCCTGGGACGGCTTCTATACAGAAAACAGAGACGGCTCAGAACGAGCCACATACCCTGCAAAGGACTAAAACTACATTTCCCAGCAGTTGCTGGGGTAAAGAAGCTAGCGCGCAAATCGGTCTAAAAGCTTGTATCTAACCCCCCTAGTCTCCTAAACTGCACGTCCCAGGAGACGACGCTGCGGTCTACACCGCCACGTGCTGGGGGAACTAGGTGCGCCTCCACAATAAACAACCCGCACAAGACCGGACTCAATCTCCCAAAAGCCCACGCGGTGCCTAAACCAACGGTGACGACTCCTCCCGCGCAAGGACTGCTGGGAGATGTAGTCCCCTGCCCGCACGCTGTTTACCTGCAAGTCCTGGAAGAGGGCGCGGCCGCCGCGCTGGTTTTGCATCTTCAAGAGACGCTCCGCGCCCTCGCGCTTCTCCTCCGCCAACTCGCGGAAGAAGTGGCACACGCCCTCCAGAGCCACATCGTCGCGGTCGAAATAGGAGCCCTGCGGGAAGAGATGGCGCGAACAACGGTTAGCGGGAGGCGAGGCCCGGCCCGCGGACTCCGCCCTCTGACTACTCGACGGGACAAAGAAGACCAGCGCGTGCGCAGAAAGCCGGAGGTACGCAGTTGAGGGAAACTTGGGCAGGGGGCGTCCTGGGGACCCTCACCAGAGAGAGGTAGGTGTACGAGGCCCGCAGATACATGTTGACCAGGCGGTTGACCGCGGCCTCCACTTCGGCAGAATAATTCTGACGAATCTGGGAGCTCATGGTTGATGGCAGTAAGGAGCTGAGCTCAAAAAATCGGTGTTGGTTGGTCCCGCCGGAGGTAGAGGATGGCTGAGCTGGTCCGAAGACTACAACTGGAAGAGAGGTTGGAAGGTGGTCGGAGGCTGGAAGAAGAGGGCGTCCCTGGGTCTGTTCCGTCCAAACACTGTTGAAGCAAGAGACAGATCCGGGAGACGCCGAGCGCGCTGCGAAGGGCTGTGGCGGAGGCGGCTTATTTTATAGCACGCGGGCCCCCGGGGTGGGGCGTTCAAAGAATGCGATCGGCCAATCTGCGGTGGGGGGAGGCGGGGCCTGGAGCCCGCGCGTGACCAATCGCGAGCCGATAGAAGTTCCGGACCCCCGCCCGGAGCTGGGGCAGTCACGCGCCTGTAGCGCGAGGGTGTTGTGAAATGGGGAATTGGGGGGTGGGGAGTTTCGCGGGAGGCAAAGGTCCTGGCGTGATTTGGGGAAGTCATGGGGTTCTGGGGGGGTCTCTCTTGTAGGTGGAAGGTAGGTGGAGACACGAGGAGCCCTGGAAAAGTATGATCCTGGGGTCCTGGGGGTGTCTCAGGAAAGTATTTGGATTCTAGGGTTCTCTCCGAGAGCATGGACTTTTCTGGAACCTTGGGTGTTCGTTCCTCAGAGGTGCAGAGACCTCCAGATGACTGGTGTTTGTTCTGGGAGCTAGGGGTCCTCAGATCATTGGGAAGTTTGGAAGGCGATGAGATGATATTTCTGGAGCTCTCTTTGGGAGATGGGTTGGACGGGGGACCTGGAGCCCTGGGGTTAGCTGAAAGGTGGGGGCGTGTCTGTAGCCTTAGAGTTCACAGTGGAAGTCTTTGTTTTTCTGGAACCTTCCCAAAAGAGGTTTTTAGGTCTTTGAGGTGATCTGCAGGATCAAGAGAGTAGTTGTTCGAGAGCCTTAGGGTTCAGCCCTGGGAGTGGGGGAGACAGATGATTCTGGAAGCTTGGTGGGGCCTTTTTTTAAAGAAGTAGAGGGCCTTGGAGAGCCCTTTGGAGCCCTGGGAAGGTTGTCTCAGCCACGTGGAATGCCTTGGGGCTATTTCAGGGGCCCATTGTTTTTCTGGGAGCTGAGAAGGGGAGGGGTAAAATGACGCTGCAGCTTTGGGGGCTCTCTGAGGCCGAATTTCCTGGGAACTATTTTAAAGGCAGCCAGAGACTCTGGGAATTCTCTTTGGCTCTGTCTCTCTGAAGTTGTACATGTCTTGCCTGGCACATGCTCCTTCAAGGACGGAGAGCAGCCTGGGTCCTGGGGAAATAAGGAGGGTCTGGGGACTTGTGGATGTGTGTCTTCGACCGATGGACGTTTTTCAAGTGTGCCAGGTCCTGGCTGGTGTCTGGGGGCTGCTCAAACCAGGCCTCTGCTCTCAGGGAGCTCCCGGTAATTGGCGGGGAAAGCAGACACAAAGACAGGAACTTCACCCTATTAAGTGCCCTCATGGAAGCCACTCTTGGGCTGGGGCAGGGGGCTGAAGCCGCTAGGGGTGGGGGAGAGTTCAGGGCCTCCTTGGCAGAGGAGCCCCTCTGAGCAGCCCAGGCAGGGTACCCGCTGACCAAGGGGATATGGAGCCAGGCGGGTAACTGGGGTCCTCAAGGGGCGTCTGGGCTGGTGGCCAGGAGAGCAGGGTGCTGAGTCATGCTGAACTCAGCGAAGAAAGGGGCTCGGGCAGAGGGGCGGGGTGGGGGCTCATGACCTCATCTCGGCGGGGGGGGGGGGAGGGGGGGGCCCGGGCTGCAGTCTGGCCGGGACCCTGGGCTCTAGGTCTGGCCCTCTCCCCCAAGGTGCCGCCTCTTGAGGGCTTTGTCTGTGTGTCTTACTGTCTTTTTAGTTCCCTGGGTGTTTTCTCTGGGCTCCTGCCTGTGGCCATATTGTCCCCTCCCCTCACTGCTATCTTAGCTGTCTGACATCTCTCCTCGGACGGACTTGGTGTCTCTGGGCAGACTCTTGGGGAGGGGCAGTGGCCCTAGGCACGTAGTCACCTTGTGCCCGAGTTACTCTTTCACCAGATCTCACAGCCCAGCCTGAAGACCTTTAGCCTCAGGCAGGTCCCACAGGTGGAGAGGTGACTGTGAAGGTGCTCACAGGTGGAGGGAGGGGAACGAGTGCAGCAGATGATCTGAAGGACGGACAGAGATCATGGGGTTTGGGGGAGACCATGGGATATGGAGGACGACGAGAGACCCAGAGAGAAGAGGACAGAGACAGAGAGGGGGACAGAGACCCAGAGAGAGGGGGACAGAGA